GCCAGTCTGATCACCCCCTAACCACTCCCCTGCCAGCCTGATCAACGCCTAACTGCTCCCCTGCTGGCCTGATTGCCCCCAACTGCCCTCCCCTGCTGGCCTGATCGCCCCTAATGGCCTCTGCCTCAGCCCCCACCAAGATGCCTTTGTCCAGAAGAAAGTCGGGCATCCAGCAGATGGCCGGTCAACCCGGTCTAATTAACATATTACCCTTTAATTAGTATAGATAGCCAAGATCTGAAAACAGCTGAAGTGCCTATTCATAGATGAGTGGATAAAAAAAAGCTCTGGTACATTTACATAATGGAATACTGTGTGGCTGTAAAAAAGAAAAATCTTACCTTTTGTGACAGCATGGATGAACCTGGAGATTATTATGCTAAGTGAAATAAGCCAGTCAGAGAAAGACAAATACCATATGATCTCATCTAATAAACTGACAAACTGACAAAATAGAAACAGAGGCATGGATACATGGAACAGCCTGACTATCAGCTGGTAGGGTGGAGGGAGGACTGGATGAAAGAAGGTGAAGGGATTAGTGGAAGAACATGTATGCAAAACCCATGGACACAGACAACAGTGTGATGGTGGCCAGAGGGAAGGGGGTGGAGCTGGGTGGTGGTGGGCAAAGAGGGGGGTGGAGGGGACATCTGTCATAGTGTCAACAACAAAAATAAAGAAAAAAAATGCACACTAAAAAATCTGAGCCACCCATTCCTATACTCTCAATGTACAACTGAGAAAATTAGTTTTAATGTTTGCATTTTATTATAAACTAGAGGCCCAATGCACGAAATTCCTGCAAGGACCCTGGACCTCCCCTCCTCCCCCCCTCCACCACAGCTGGGGGCCTCTGCCCGCTGCAGCTTTGTCTGGAAGGAGGGACGTCTGGTCTAATTAGCATATTATGCCTTTATTATTGTAGATGTGATACTTATACCTGCAGAAAGTTTGGAAGACAAAAAATGTAGAACAAAATAAAATCACTCCCAGCCTTTCCTCCTAGACCTAGAGGCATCCACGACTAAGTCATAGCCTTTCCTCCTACTTTCTGTCTTTGCATTTTTAACACGGTTGTAGTTATACCATAGATCCAACTTTGTCTTGTTTTTAAAGCTTAAATAGATTAGACAAGTTGGTTGTGAAAAATACTGGAGTGGTGGTTTTATTACAGAGTAGGAAAATTATTATGCCTGCTTACTTATCTAGCCACCTCAGCAGCTTGAGAGCCTGTACAAAGTTTCTAGGAACTGAGCTCCCACACCTGAGCTATGGCCCACAAAGAACAAACAGATCAACACCCCTGGGCAACAGGCCCATAAAGAACAGACAGATCAAAATTAAGAATAGTCCTGACTTTTAAGTTACCCAGAAATGAATAACAGGAGGAGGATGAATAGCTTGGCTAAAACTATGCAATTAGCTTTTGTAACTTGGCTTTGCTTGCTATGGGAACCTGAACACGGATGTAGTTGTCCCCTTTAAATATTGGACTCTGCAGATAGTCGGGGCCGCTTCTGTCTTGGGCTTCCTGAGTGGAGGAGTGGACACTGGCCAGTCAATAAGGCTCTCTAGATTTTAATCAGCCTGGAGCTCTGGTCATTCTGTCGCTCACACTCCACAACATTTGGAGGCCCCAGCGAGATAATCGGCCATTGACCGGTCCCATGCCAGAGTCCAGGGAAGACATCCAAACTCCCGGACCAAACCTAGGGGGAGATCTCTGAGAGACATTCCTCAGCCCCGGACCAATAGAGTTTGGCAGGTCTGTCCAAAAATTGTCTAATTGACTTCAGTTGGAGCCATCTGGATCTGATTCTTACTGGTAAGAAGACTCAATTCTTGAGTCCTGATATTCTGGTTCTGTGGGCCCTTCAGAGGTCTCCGGAAGGCTGGACGCAGCACCACTGCGATGGGAACAGCAGCTCTAGTAACAGGAAATCAGAATTTTAAGGCCATCAGCAGCCAAGTAGATCAAGATCTGAGCACATTGGAACAAAATATAGATAGACTGGAAGATTCCCTCAGTTCCTTAGCCGAAGTAGTATTACAAAATAGGAGAGGGCTTGACCTGTTGTTTCTAAAACAGGGAGGACTATGCATGGCCCTAGGG